GCAAAGTGAAGATGAAAGATGAAATCAATATAAGTCACTCAAATACGAAGCAAGAAAATAAATAACAATTCTAATATAGAGCACGTTCTTAAGACATTAAATTTAGCAGCGCGCGCATGAGACAGGACAATAACGCAACCTCCAGTTATGTAATGCAGTACATGGAAACTACGTATGCACCATACATATATTAGAAGAAACTTAATAATATCCTAAAATAAGTTTACAAAGAACTCGAGTATAAAGCAAGCAAATAGCATGCCAAAACTATATAAACTAAAGGAAAAATGTTAATTAACTGAAACGATAATCAGCCGTTAAGGAACAATAGAAATAGGAGTAGAGCGCAAAGAGAAATTTGAATTCAATTGCTGCTTTCACTTAATAGGCAGCAGGACTAGAGAATTAAGTCAATGGTGAGGGCATCAAAATTAAATACAAAAATTTGAAAGTTTATCAAATAATAGGTTAGCCTAGTCTGTAAGTGAAGCACAATTAGACAGCAAAAATTGGGATGAATGCGCGCATCTGAGCGGTAACCAAGCGAGGGCAGCCAACAGCAGCCAATAATAAATGGGATTAGTATAGTTATATTAATGGTACATTGGCAGACAGGGAGAGAGGAGCATGAAATCAGTTGGCCAAGTTGTTAAGCGTACATCTGAAGAATCAGAGTTTTAAGCAAAGTACACCAGAGGTCTTGTGAGCATCGATATGAAAAAATAGATGATTGCTTGCTTCATGATCACACATCTATTCATAGATGAAAAGTGTAGGAAAAATAATAATGAACAAGCAAATGGTTTAAATATCATGGGACCAGGGAATAAAAAAAATAATAAAACAATCTAAAAGTTTATTATCTAGTAAATAATAAATGAATAAAAGGCAGGACCAGATTAGAGATAAAGCCGTGAGAGGGAGTAAGAGGTGAGAAGTAAAATGGTTAATCGAAGTATTTTGCGCCAACCGATAGGATAAACCTAACATTGAGTGATTCATAAAAAGAATTCTGACACCCGCAATCGGATAAAGAATGGTTACGAAAATAAAAAAATAAATCTCTAAAACAGCCATAATAAGCCGATTGAAACCGGTGAAACTTCCAGAGTGAAAATATAAATAAGTAAACCTTCAAGAACTATGCCTTATTCTAAAGATACTTTAAATATCTGATCTCGCCTGAAGACTTGGAGAGGAAAGTAAAGAGCTACGCACAATGTTTTAAAAACAGAAAGCTTTAAGGAAAAAGCAAAAAATCAAAGGAAAGTCTTATAGAAAAAGAAATAATTTAGAAATATAGAAATTTGAAGTGATAGTGAGAGTATAATTGAAATGGTTAATTTGTATGTAGAGAGGTAAACGAATGGGGAAGTTCTATAATGAAAGATATACATATGAAGATAGAAACATAAAGCATAAAACTAGAATAAAAGTCGTAGGTAGCAAGAAAAATAGATTGCAATTGGGGGAATATGAGTGGAAAGTATTCAGATGGAAGATAGATAAAGCACATAAAAGTATTTATGGTCTAAGATGAATTTGAGGCCGATGTCGTTGAAGAGTGTACTTCTGGTGAAACGGCTGTATCATGGACATTACTATGATTTCGAGCCAAGCGTATACGATGCACCCTAGTAAGAGTGGAGACAGATGGAGGGTTCTGCACAGATGTTGAACAGATTGTGGAGGCAGGAATAGAGGGAAGGCAGGAATAGTAAGCGGCAGTAGAAGCAAGAGGAAAAGAGGAAGAGAGGGTAGTTGGAGATGATATAGTGTCCAAGCCCATTGCAGCCGACTGACAAAAGGAGCGCAAAGAAACCTCAGATGATTCAGGAATCTGAGGAGTGCAAACAGAATAGAAGGATAAAGCTGGTTTAAAGAGATCGGCTGTGGTCTTGGGGCTAGATCGAAGGCTGGTCGGAGTACCGTTTTTATCAGTAGTGAAAAGCGTATTGGAATCTAATATGCGAGTGGAATCGAATTTCGAAGTAGAAATAGGTATTGGTGTGGGTGTATTTGTGCCGCTAGCCGATTGGCGAAGCCCAAAATCACTCCTTCCAGAAGTGACACTAGCATCCATGTCGGTGACATCATCACCAGCATAAATTGAGAGGCAGGGATCGCCAACATTATACCCGAGTTCATCTATTGGTGAAGAGGGAGGGGAAGTGCTGGAAAAATTGAGGTAAAAAGAAAAGGTGAAACTCATGGTCTAGAAGTTTAATAGCACCTAAATGGTAAGGATGTAAATGCAAGCATATGCCCAAAATTAAACATATATCTTAAAATTGTGAAGCTGGCTGGATCAGATATCATCTTTATGAGCCCGCTTTAGGAACTTATGAAAAATGATTAATTTAAAACCAATTTTATATTATCATAATACTAATAATAGAGATTAATCTAAAGATAAGTGCAGGAGCTTGCCCTAAAAATGAAAAATCATATAAAACAATCTCTTTATTGAATTATTAAATGCAATGTCATTAATAGTGACGATAGTTTAAACAAATAAAGCTCAAACTTATTATGACCAGAATTCGTCTTGCTTAACTAATTCGTACAAGCAGCCCCAAACTCTCGTCTTTCGCTAATCCATAAATTGACAATTTAGGAGCTCTAACAGTCATAATCAAACCGCACATTAAACAGGCTTTAAAGCCCTTGTAAAGAAATGTTTCCAACTTGGCCGTTGCCTTTGCCGTGATGCAACCTATTTTTTTTATAGAAGTGTTCCGATCTCATTTTCGCAAATTGGTCGTGTTGTCAAGGTGATGTAATTGAATGCACCTTATCCGAAGCCCTCTGCCTACGATGCCGTCGAAACGTCTGAGAATGTACAAAGTCCATGGTCCAACAATGTAAATTATCATGATCACAACAACAGAGCTATGTCACTCTGAAAACACAACCAAGTTGTAAAAACGAGGTATGCCCACTTCTATACATCGAAAGGAGATTGACACGACATCTTGATATTTAAGTGTATTCTATTATGGTTTATATTTTTTTATATTTTGTGCATTTAAACGCATACTCTACCTAAACGAATCTAACCTCCTTCATTTCAGAGCCTAGTACATATAGTCTCCTTATTTTAGATAGCATATTCTTAATTCCTTTGCTAGAGTAGGTCAAAGGATACATTATCAAAGATGAAAAATCTGAAAATGGTAAAAGGGCTGCAGGACATATTAGGAAATGAAGCAAATAATAAGAGCAATCTTAACCGTATATTGAATATGCAAGCCAATAGTAATACAATTTGTGAAAGATATTGCATACTAAGGTTCCAAAAGATTTAATCTAGAAACATTCTGATTTAAAAGATGTAACATGGCCAAGCTTGTGTAGATAAATTGAGATTAAGGCCATTCGAAAGGTCGAAGTCGAAAAAAAACACTTGTGTATGTGGTTCAACCAAAATAAAAAGGAAACATTCTAAAGTCACCTGAGTCGCAAGACATCTGATGAGGTCGACAGATGGCGCGATACATGCATCGAGCTGGATGTCTTTGATGAATCAGAACTAACAAGGGAAGAGGCAGCGGTGGCAGGCAGCTCCGTGGCAGTCGCCTGCCAGAATGACTGGCGTGCAGGCAATGTGAAGCGAAAACGACCGGCAACTAGGTCGCCGACCTGGGATATATGACCAAGGGAGGCGCGCGACAAAGGTGAAGTTGATATAGAAGCTGGTCCGGAAGCATAAAGTCCGGTTCGGTGGACACCAGTTGGTAGAGAAAGGTAGTAGCCAGCAGGGGGAGGCGGATAGTATCTAAGCTGATGAGTCAGGTTCCTGGATTGTTGATGCAGTGCTTCGTGGACGTCAACTAGAGTGTGCGCACGGACCTTGGAAGTGGCGTCCTGGGTCCGAAAAGTACTGGCAAGACGATTAATACCTGAGGTATCGTGGCGGCTAAGACGATGGACCGCGTTG